TTGGCTCTTGGGATTGGTTTAGTTTTGGTTTTGACACTTAATCGAGACGCGTTTTATCACCGATCCCAACAACAATCGTGTTACTCTAGTTCCACCTATGTTACTGAAAAGGATCAGTCTTGACTGTAGTTCTTACGTAGCTTACATACCTGGCTTTGCATTTAAGTGCGCTCTTAACTCACACCATCGGTGAAACCTCATTCCACAAACCTGACAACCACAGCGGAATTTTGGCAAGTCTTCCTTGCTGTCTACAAATAAAAATAAAGAACAAATAAAGCTTCACGGATAAAATAAATATTTGGAAAGAAACAGAAATCGTCACCAGACTCGTGTATACTTTAGATCAAAGTCAACTGTGCACCTACCCCTCCCCTAGGCCAAAAAAAGTCAGCTGACAACAAGAAAGGGTTAATGTTGAGTTAGGGGAAGGGGTAAGTTTCAGTTGCTCAGACACTGACATTGATCCCATACTTCTGCTAATACGCCATCAAACAGGACACAAAATAGACAATCTCAGTACTATGGTGAAAGTTGTCAATCGTTGGAAAAGCAAGAACAGTGACAGTAAAGTTCAAAAGCAAGAGGTTCGCAAACCTTGTTTTGAAACCTCAGCACTGTGAGTTGTAAGGCTATCAATGTCACTGATGCTGGGATCTGTGTTCACCACACTGTTAACATCTATGCAAAGCTCATCTTCTGATTCTTCAGAGCATTTCTGAATAAAGTAAATAAAGTAAACACAAATTAGCCCTTCAATTCCCAAGATCTGTTTGTTAATTCCCCCCCTCGGCTGTCAAACATCTCCACATTAAACAGCTACAAGATTATTGGTGTTGAATCAAGATAACAACTTCTTCCTGATTAGTTTGAGTATTTTCATAACGTGTTTGCAAGATAATGTATACATATTTTAGAGAGAAGTTAAGTAACACATTAATAATTTTTATGTTTGTTTAATCTCCAATTTTCTTTTCAAAGGCTAATTTAAGTGGCACAAGTTACATTCACCCCTTTTGAAACTTTTATTACTAACAAAAACACATAACATTTTCATTTTGCCACCTTTCCAGTGGTCACAAAATGAAGTCTTGTTTTTTAAAGAACTCTTTATCACTGTGAATCCTTCAAGAAGAACCCTCCCCTCAAATGCTTCATCATCATAAAAGGAGAAGCCAGTTTCTTCTCTCCTTATTAACAGTAACTTATCTAGCTAGAAATTTAGACAAAATATAAATGCTGCTCTCAAATCTCAACAGTACCCTTGCCTTAGATTTTTGAAGTGCATTTGAATTTGGTCAAATAAACACCCCTTGTATTATTGCTATAATTGTTGCATTGTTGCTATCATTAAGCCCCATGAGTGACCAAGACAGAATTTCTCCTTACAATATCAATACAATATCAAGCAGACAAGTGATGAGAATAAAGAAAAATATCAATTAAGGGATTACAAGTTGGTTCAATACCAAATTCTCCAAACTAACATCACAAGAACTGTATGGCAGACAGTAAGGAGAGTTACAAATGAGATCTTGGGAGTTAAAGGGTTAAACGTCTCTGGTGTTGTAATTGATTGAATTTGTACTTTACTGATCCTAGGTAGTAATAGAAACTGCTCTCTTTAAATGAATTTTTTTCCTTGACAGGAGACTTGCCTTCAAGTCTCACACTGAGCAGTCTCTGAAATAAAAATTTCTCACCTTTTTGTTTGGACATTTTTTTGATTTGACAACTTGCTTATTCTTCCGTTTAGGTGCTGTTTTCATGTTGGGTGTGAAGTCTTCATCACTATCATTGTCCAAAGGTTCTCCAGAATCTGAAGAGAACAACCCTTCATCTTCTTCACTGTGATCTACGACTGCACATTCTGATGGGGAAGAACCAAACCTCAGTGAGCTTTTACTACATAATATAACTATCCCTTTACCATCTAACTCCTCAGTACTAAATTAAATGAGGTCTTGGGAGTGAAAGGGTGTCAAGTATCAGAGAATAACATTTTTTAAAACTTCAGACAAGGCTATGCAAGACTCTTGTAAAGTCCCAAGTTTGTTCTTTAAGCATCAGAAAAAAGGGCCAGCAAATAGAAGGAGTTGCCTTGAGGTACAAGCATTTAAAGTTTGCTAGCCTAATTAATTCCCAAAACCCAGCTGCTACTTACACTGATCAACTTACAACAACAGTTAACAAAAATTATTAATGGTAACTCTTAGTGGCCAGTTCCATAACTATGAAATGTCAATTTATCAAAACAACAATCGACCATGAAATATTTTATATCATAAATTAATTTTTTTTCCAACCACAATAATTATTATTAGGAGTAAATGATGACAAACCTTACCAGAATTATGACATTCTTTGATGTGCTGAGTGATCTCTTGTTTATTCTTACACAACACAGAGCAGAAAGGACACAAAGATGTTTCAGGAACTTGATCTATATCATCTACTACTGGGCAGTGGTACACAAATGACTCTATGTCAATAGCCAAGTCTTTCTCGCTGCTGCCACCATTGAGAGCTTTTGATAAATTTACTTCTGAATCTATATTCCTTTTTTTCTTATTCTTCTTTTCCTTGTTATCCAAATATCTTGTCTCAGGCATTTGACATTTCTTAATTAGCTGTTGTTTTCTCCATGTAGTTCTTTTCGCTGCTCTTGGATGAGAAGCCACTCTGCCTGTTGTTAAGCTTTCAGCTGATTTCAGTCCTAATTCCTGAACAAGGTTGCTGTCATTGTCACTAACCCTACCAGTAACATTAACATCTTCATCTGAAGATACATCTTCCGAATCTGATCTGTACAACTCTTCTTTGTAAACTCTTTTAACTCCATTTCTCTTTCTTTGTTTTCTATTCAGGTAAAGAAATAACACATCACTCCTTTTTTCAAGTACCCAAGTAGGCCAGAATCTTCCAATCCTTTAATCTGATAAGCTTATTGTGTACTTGTAACAAGTTTTGGCTTTTCACAATATAGACCATGGTCCAGAATATTTTTTGTGCCATTCCCAGCAAAGTGGAAAAGAGCAAACCAGCTGAGGAAAATTACTAAACTTAAAATTATCTAGCATTCTGGGTTGGTTCCAATGGGAAGTAACTGTACAGTTGACCTCAAGTACACCTACTGCGTAAGCTCCTTTAAACTCTCACATTTAACTCTTTCATTACATGTACCTCTTTCTATTGGAAGCTTTGGGTAGATGGCAATACAATAACAGGGAAACCAACAAATGGCAGTCGGTTATAAATAGTGGATTAAAATATTGTACACCAACCAAGAGGCATATTTACACACCTACATGAGCATGTGTAGCTCCTTTAAACTTCATAACTTCCTCTGGCTCAGCTTGAATAACCTATGCCAGTGTTACTCAATAAGCTCAACATAGTCTGATATTAACTATGAGCAAAATGCAGTTGGTTGCAAAGGATAGTGCTTTTTAATGCTCTTTACCTTTTTATACTTAAAACTTTTGAATTCAAGTGGACATCATCATTTTCTTCATCCTAAAAATTGGCAAGAGATCAATGAATAAATTATTAATTGACAGAGTAGTTTATTGTTTGAGGAAGTGGAAGTTTTTCGTTGACCATTTCAAACCCAGACCAGCAAAGAAACAAACCCCCAACCATAAAGACAAGGCTGGTAAGGTCACATGTCACAAGGCCAAATCAGTTCAACACAAACAAGCCTCTTCTCAAGATGAGAGCAAACTTTTTATGGAAACAGAAATGCATAATGTTTTAATCCACTAACAAAAATTTGCCTTTTTTTATCAAGCATCTTTCTTTCTAGTTTTCACAACCAAAGTGACATGTAAGATACTTTTGCCTGCAAACTGTTTTGTCTTAAGATTAAATGAAAACAGTTGAGAATGTGAAAGTCAGCAGATAGCCAAGACAGATAGAAATTGGGGAAGACAATGGAAACTGAAAGGAACACAATTTTCCACAACATTTTCATCCATGTAAAGAAACCATTTCAATTTGTATCACCCATAAAGTAAACCTTGGTATGGGTAATGATTGTTGTATATACATATGATTTATTAGGAAATGCAGTTCATCTGAAAATATATATCTTCCCAAGAAGATTCCATAAGTTTGGTTTAAAAGCAACAAGTCAGATCACCATTTAAGATCTTTAAAATATTGAAAAATAATAATTCTTCTAAACAAAAGACTAATAACCCAAGCTTATGCTTAAAAATACTACCCATTTAAAGAAAAACTGTTTAGACATGGACCCCAGCTCGAAGAGTAACAGTTTAGTTCTCAAGATCCTCTCAAAATGTCACTTTGGAAATTTTAGTTTCAACACTTCCTAGACTGTGTACACAAATTTCAGTTTCATTTTCCCTAAGGTTAAACGAAGTTTATGAACTTAATACAAGAGAAGATAGATAATTGGAAATTTTAAGCCAGTATCTAGCAAAAAGAGGAAACCTAAACCACAGCACAAAAGTCCTTGGTATTATTACTGAATAATTTTGGAGGCGTTCCCACGAGCTCAAGCTAAAATCGTCTCGCAATATGAAATTTGGTTCTAGGTAAATGTAACATTCCATGTTGAGCACACGGCTCGGGAAGACGATTTCTACTTAAAACAAAGACTCCCGAATTTAGGACATTTCTCTGCTTCATCCACAGTTGTTCTGCTTGCGTAGGGTGATAGAATAAGCTGGCCTTAAGTTTAGTAACAATATAAATGGCAAAAAAGTATGGTACTACTGTACTTACGCGCACAGGACTCTTTCTTTCGCACTGTTCAGAAAGCTTTTCAATTATTGAGTGAAGTTTTAATCTGCAAAATCATCAAATGCCTCGTTACTCCACATTAAGGCTCACAATGTTTTGTAAACTGATACAAGACAAGCTCACCACTTACCCACGTTTTTTTCCAGTCGCCATGTTGTTGTAGTCTGACAAGATTTATGCTCAAGTACGCCTCATGAAGTGTCTCGGTCAAACCGCGTGGCTCTGGTCACCATATTATCTTTAAACATGGCGTGATGAAAGAGTGAAGTGGAAACATTCAAACAAATACAAGACCATGGATAATTACAAAGCTAAACTTCTTCATATATTAGAGGATGTACTGGTAAAAATCTTTATCACGTCTAAGTGAATTTTACCCCTTTCGCGATACACAGTTAGATCTGTATTCATCCAAGATAGCTCAGACGCTACTTGATTACTTCCGCACGAACGAAAGCGGTCAAATTTCCGCACAGTCCCATACTATTGTGAAACAGATCTGCTTTCCCAAAGGCAATCTATTGTTTTTGTCATCGTTTTCTCTATCCAATAACTGAATGCATGATGTAGTATGGGGTTGTGCGGAAATTTTACTTTTATATTTTAGAAAGTGAAAATATTTTTTTTAATGGAAATTCCTGATCTAAATTTCAAATTGGGGCTAAAACAGTGAAGGAATCAAAAATGAAGGAATCAAAAACCGAAACGTAGTACAGTTTGCTGGCCGAACTTTAGTAACGTTAAAGTGTTCAAAGGATGTGAAATCTAGAGCATACACTCTCACTTTAGGGTACTTCTCAAACAAAAACAGCTGTGAACTACAGTTGTGTGTGTTTATGTAGATCCAATTTGCACAGCTGAATGTCAATAACCCTTTAATTCTCAAGATCTGATTGACAATTCTCCCTACACATTTTTTGGTGAATTAGTTATGAGAATTTGGTGTTATATCAGGATGACTTCAACCTGATAAGTTTGGCTGAGTGGTTTGGGCACAGGACTTGTAATCTGGTGGTCCTAGGTTCAAGTCCTTCTCCCCACCACCCACTGAATTTGTTCTTGGTTGCCCTGAGTTCAACTTCTTGGCTGTGCTGTGTAAATAGTCAACTAGTCTGCCTCCTACCAGTTGGAATTTTCAAGCACTTTATGTTTATTTGGAATTTTTGTTTCTCTCTTTGCACATTTGAACATAAGTCAATGAATGTATGTGTGTTAGGTAACCAGTCATTTTGCCAATGGTAGTTTTGCAAATGTCTCTGGTCAGTTTGCAAACGTGTAGAAGTCAGTTCACAAATGTTATAAACATTTACATGTCAACCTGGGTTTAATTATATGATTCAGAATACTACATCACTGACACATTGTGTGTGTAAATTATTGGATGTGAAATCTCACAGCTTATTTCATGCTAAAGTATATTTCATAATCAAATGGACAGTTTTTATCCCGTGTCTCAGTAGTTGTGGACCTTCCTTTAAAGAGCAAAGCTTCCTGCTAGAACACAACAACAGCAAGACCTGTTTCATATTGGTAGATTGATTTGAAGATTACAGCTACTGTACATGCAACATGCTAACGCTGTGATAGAACGAAATCAACTACAAGACTGTACGACTTAAGCTAGAAAGTTTGTTTGTTCTTGAAAATGATGACATCTCAAATCTACAAAGTGTGTGAACTGACTTCTTTGCATATATTAAATGTTTATAACGTTTGCAAACTGACTTCTAAACATTTGTGAACTGACTAGAGGTGTTTGCAAAACAACCAATGGTGAAACAACTTGTTTGCGAAATGACTGACATTCGTGTGTTATAAGTATTAAACTTATTATTATTTGTTAGTACTCCATTACCTTAAGCTCTTGAATTCTGCAAACAGATACTCTGAAAGCAAGCAAGACTCAAAAAATATTCTTCAGCATTTAGTGGTTGTTTTATAATTATAAAGATCATGATAAAAATGTGATTCTAAAATTTTTATTGCTAGTCATTGTAGTTATTTTTGTTTAATTGTCATTTACATCTTTAGGGAATTGAGGCAATGGAAACTGCATTTTGTGGGTATGAATTATTTTATTGTAGTATAGCCACGAATGTAAATATTTATAATACATTATTCTCAGCACTACTGACTTCATGCATGTAGAGAATTGCTTTGAATTCGTTTCATTTTTTTTTCCCAAAGAATGCTTGTCCACAATGAAGAGGATGAAGATCTAGATATCAAGGAGACTTTCCAAAGTGTTTTTAAACCTTTCTGGGCTGGTGTTCCTGTGGTAAATGATTTACTCTTACATATCAAATTACTGAGTGACAATTTCTTCATTATAGTGAAAAATGTCGAGTCTGTTCTCAAGCCTACTGCCTCTCCCTCCCTCAGCTGGAGCTAATCCCAATTTCCTTGTTTTATGAAGTGACTAGTAGTATTACTACTCCCCCTTGGGGATGGGGTGCTAGTTTATTACAAGGTTACCCTCCCCCCTCCCTTCCCTAGCATTTAATCAGGCTTTGCAGAAAATTTGCCAGCACACATTTAGACTCCTGGGAGAGAGAGGCACTGTGAGAGGAAAGTGTTTTGCCTAAGAACATAGCACAATGACCTGGCCAGTTCTCATACTTGGACTTCTCGACATGGAGTACATTACACTGACCATTAGACCCTATGTCTCACTACTGTTGTAAAGTATTAACATTTCAAATGTTAAATATTAAATGTATGCAAAAGTAGAGCCCACATTTCTTGGCATGACCTTATGACTCAGCCTCGTAATTTTGATTAAGTTATTTCAGGTTACTTGACATTTACACTTTTTTTGCTTCTTTTTCCAACTCTGTTTTTTTTTATTCTAGGATGCAAGGGAACAACTTCTCCTTGACTTTGTTTCATTCATCTACAATGAAAACAACCCAAGAAGAATTGACATTGCTTTTGGTTTACTGGGAAGTTTAGTGGAAGGTTCACTAGTTCCTGCCAGGTATCCAAACCAAAATCATTCTTTTCACATTCTAATGAGTAAGAAGCAGTTTCTCAACTGTTTAATTTTTGTGTTGTGCAACATAGCCAGTTAGAAATGGTTTGGTTGTTGTAGATGTGTTGATCTTTATACCGTGCTCTGCCCCAACTCTTTAACCTTTTAACTCCCATGGATGACCAAGACAGAATTTCTCCTTACAATGTCAATTAATACAATGTCATAGCAGACAAGTGATGAGAATAAAGAAAGGTATCATTAGTTGATCCAATACCAAATTCCCCAAACTAACATCATAAGAATTGTGTCGCAGACAGTAAGGAGAATTACTAACAAGATCTTGGGAGTGAAAGGGTTAGCTATACAGATCTGATTTATAACTAACCCCTGTAGACTCTTCACATTTCCTTGAAAGCCTGTTTTATTGACTGTACCAAATTAATGCATTTGATTGAATCTCCCATTAAATGTTTTACCTGCTATTGCATTTCCTCTCCCAGACATAATTCAGGGGTTTATGTGATTATTTACTGTAAGTCTATGTTCCCTAATAGTAGGTTCAAGCAATCTTTGCAAACACAAGCTGATAATAACAGATTTCTAAGTAAATGTGATCTCTTTATCAAAGTAATTAGGCTCAGTGCACAACAATCCACATGGAAATGGATTTGGTTTGCTGGTGAAGTTAGGTTATTTGGGTTTATTTAGTATTGTCAACTGAGTTGATAGCATAAATCGGCCACCGACACTTCGAGCATTAGCCCTTTGTTATTTTCTCTGATGAAGCACAAACACTTGAAATGTCAGCTTTTGAATTCTTTATGTGAGCCAATTTACATTATCAACTCAGTTGGCAAAACTAAATTACCCTGTTATACTCTCCCACAGATGCAGCACCACAGTTTCTTTAAAAACTTACTCCGGGGGTAAAGGCCTTTATAAGTTGGTTTATTTTCCTAGGAAAAAATGAACTACAAGACCTGATCTCTGGGAGTGAGGGTAAAGGTAATTTGGAGATGGGCTCTTTGGTGAGCTGGGTGTTGGTATTTGCACTGGGGGTATTGAATTTTTTTCTTTTATTTATACTTATCACTATTGATCTGTAGATCAATGTGTGAAGCTATCCTCAAGACACCTCACCTCAGTTTTCAGAAAGAACTCATGTGGTGTAAAACATTCCAGCTTCTTTTGAAAATTGTAGGAGGGGTCGATTATAAGGTGAGTATAACTTACTCACTAAGCTGGATTTGATTTTTCAAGAATCACTCAATCATTCATATAAGTTAATTTTAGATCAATTTTAAATCATTCTTAAATAAAAACATGTTAATGGCACTATTTCTGTCATTTGTTGCATGTTCTTAGATGTTCATACCTTTATATTCTTTATGAATTTTTTTCATCAGTATCAACTATTGCGCATGATTATAAGATTGCTTTGACTTCCTTTTATTCTGTGGGCCATGAGTTTATCAAATATTTTATCAAATCTGCCATTTTCATCACTGCATACATTTCTGGACATAAGTGGGTAATTACTATCCAGAGTTACCCTCACTGAGTTAAGTCTAAGACTAATGCTAAGTGGTTTACTTTGGTTTTCATGTTAAAGAGCTGTCGTGACATTCTAAGTTTGGTGTTTCACCTATTCCGTACCATTCCAAACACTGCTGATCCTGCATTTACAGACCGAATACAAGCTTGTGTTAAGGTATGTTCCTGTACAATATAAAGGCTCTATGACCTCAAAGTAAACATCAAAGTAAGGTAAGGCGAAGGTAATTAATGAAACTACTTGTATAACTTGTTCCACCCAATAAATGATAAATATTTTATTAAGTAGCTTTAAAAGCACTTTCTAGAGGTGAGTGATGCACTTAACTTTTCTTGTTTAAAATTTGCAGGTTGTCCGTTATATTTTAGATAGGAATACTTGTCTTCTGCCTGCCTATTTTGTCATTAATGAGGTAAGATACATCTTTCCACGTAAGTAACAAGTTTAACTGCTGAAGTTAGTCTCTGGAAATTGGTCAGTTTGGCTATTTTTCAGACATCCAAGGATCCTTGTAGGGATATTTTTGGATGTCACTTTCAGAAAACTTCAGATCAGAATGACTTCAAAGTAGTGGGATTTGTATATTTTTCTGTGCAAAATAGCTTTTCAGTGATCACAAGGAAAGAAGCTACAAAACAAACTAGGCTTACATGATTTTGCTGTATGCATCATTTTAAGCCACAGCATGTAATTATTGGAGTTAAACTTCCACATTTTCTTGTTTTAACCTCCTAACAAAGTGTATTAACTGTCAAAATAATTTCTTGACAATGACTAGTCAATCCTCTCTCAAGCAGACCACCTCAGCCAGCTTGTCACGTTTGACCTCACTCCAAATCAAAGGCTTGGCAACTAAGTACACAACTGTAAAATGCATGGCCTATTACCTTGCATATGGCTAGGATAAGTTGTTAGAGAAGCGCTGAGTCTGCATGATGTTAGCTGCAAAAACTGAGATCTTACTGAAAGGATAACCCTGCCCTCTTTAATTTAAAAACAAAATAATTTTTTCTTTCTAGGAAATAAGGCTGATGGCTTATGTAGTTCTAATAAGGCTCTAGGACAGGTTGATACTGACAACAATGTGCAGTTAGAAGGGTGCCATTGCATGTGACCATTGATCTAACTTTAGTTAAAAGGATTTTGATGATCTTCACACCAATTGTGCTACATGGTACATATTTGGTATCTAAGCTAAGGTTTGTGTAATGTAGGCATTGAGTGATTACAATATTATTGTAATGATTAAATGATTTTTTATTTACATTTATAGATCTACAAAAATTTTCCAGAGGGTAAAGTGAAGCCTCACTGGGTATGTTTCCAACACTGATTTAAGAGAATTGAATGTGACTGGTTCTGGTATTGGTCTTGCACAATTCCCCTCTCTACATCCAAAATTAAGGAATGCATGAATAAAAAATTAATAAACAGAATGAAATTGTTGAGTTGATTGTAGAGAAACTCAGTTACATGGACGCTAAGAAAACATCAAAACAAATTGAGATTCAAAGCAATTTTGACAGTAGTTATAATTATCAAATATTACATCCATTTTGAAATCACTGGCAATCCTTGTGGTTTGATTGGCTCTCATCAGAGTGATTTATTGACGAATTGCACCATTTTATGCCTAAATGGCATCTTTTTCCAAGCAAATGAGACAACTTCACAGAAACACAACTTCTAATCAAATTTCAAGGCTTGTTTAAAGGAACCAATTAAATTGCAGGAAAATGAAAGACAACTTTTGCAACTTTTTACAAACCAGCTTAATACTGGATCAATGAAATATTTTTACAGACTGAAAAAAGTTGTATTTGAGCAACTGAATTAATATGCAATTTCAAAATAGATGTTATAATTGAAAGTGGTAATTACTAACTTAAACAGTTAAAATAAGTGGAGTACAATTTTGGTCTAAAATCATACTAAGTCTTGTGATTTCATATCAAACTCGTGTTGTGCACCTGTTCAATTTTAAAATCATGCATATGCTTTCAGACCAAATTGCACTCCACTCACTTCAATTACCATGATGACAATAATTATAAACGATCAAGAAGGGAAATTTTTTGATAGAGTTAAGCTTTTTTCGGCAGGCTATTGCAAAGCTCCTTTCAGATTTTGCTGAGACATTCCGACCACTTGCACGGATAGTGTCTGTGATAGGTAAGTGCCAGTGAAAGTCCTTCAAGCTAATTCTGTAGACATGTAGTAACTCAAGATCAAAAATTAATTGGACTAAGATAAATACTAAGACTTCACTCTGATTTCTTATAATCTCTTTAACTCCCAAGATCTCGTTTGTAAACTATAGATCTCCTTACTGCCTGGTATACAATTCTTTTCATGTAAGTTTAAAGAATTTAATATTGGATCAACTAACAATCCCCTGATTGATATTTTCTCTTTTCTCATTACTTGTCTGCTTGAGATTGCATTCATTTGACATTGTAACAAGAAGTTCTTTCTTGGTCACTCATTACACTTAAAAGGTTAACTGGTACAAAACTGATGCTACAAGAATGAAGGGAAAGGAAAGAAAGTAGAATTAAAGCAGATAATTATGTCTGCAGCTCTGTGCAGTATGTCCAATATGGCTGTAAGGAGAATAACATCTACAAATCAGCCAGAGAGTCTTGGTCCTATCTAGTCTCATCTTATATTCTCTGTAGGTGGCTGCACTTTGCTACTGCAAATTTTTTTGTGATAGGTGGATTACAGTGTTGTCCAGAAACAAGCTGAAAAGCCTTTTCAAAAAACAAAGGCCCTATTAATTGTAGCTCAGTCAGTTATTTGGTAAACAACATATATATCACATGGCAATGTGAAGTGATCATGATCATCATTTTTTTTAGTATTAATTTAATAATTATTGTATGATCTTGGTTTATTTATTTACTTAACACAGGCCGCCCATCTCTTCTTCCTGTGATTGGTCATCCTGGTTCTTCTCTTAGTGTTTGGAAACTAGATCCTAACACTCTCAGTTTTCCATTAAAGGGACTTCTGCCATATGAAAAGGTACATAAAGAATGTCAGTGCTGATTAAGATCACTGTACATGTAAATCACATGTATGATAATCTAAACAAGTGGAGCTGATCTACTGGGGTGCCATATGAATTCCTAGTCAGGTTGATGTTCCTTAATTCAAAATTCAAACAAAAAGGTTCTCAGCAAATTTGATAATTACAGGGCATCTGCTTATTGAAGGCAAGAATAATGAGTTTTATTTCTAAATGTTTCAATTTACACAAGAAACAAAGATTTCTTTGTTGCCCTGTTTGATAAACTTAAACAGAAGTAAAACCCTGTTTGGATTTCTTTGTTGTAATTGTGTGACCAATAAATTTGCTAAGATTTTCTTTCTACTTCAAATACTTCAATTTTCAGGATTTGTTGGAACCTCAGACAAAACTGTTGCAATATGTCATAGCGCAGCCATATTCTCGTGATGTCATCTGTACCATGCTAGGACTCAATAAACAGGTCAGTTATTTTAAAGATTGTTTCTAATTAACTGGAATGAAGCTTTAAATCTAACAAGTCATGTATTACTAACAGAATAAAGAGATTAAGGCAGTGGAGAGAAGTTTTTTTACCCTTTAACTCCCAAAATCCGCTAAGTTATTCTCCCAACTGACTGCTATACCCTTGTTTACAAATTACTAGAGAGAATTTTAGTGATATATCAAGATAACATCAGCTTGCTGATGACCATGTCTGTTCCATAACCTGTTTTCAGCATAACATATTGGATTCACAATGAGAAGCTGCATATTAATCACTTGAAGAAGTTGAAGAATTAATTAAAAGCAGTTTGTTTTGAGTTCAATTATTGAGAGGTGATTTGGTCCTTTTCAGCAAAAACAAAGATGTCCAGCATTAGAAGAACTGTTGGTTGACCTGATAGTTGTAGCAATGGAAAGATCAGAGGATGATGAGGCCAGCATGAGTGAAACAGGATGTCAATTGCTCTGGCATCATGTGTCAAGCCATCTTATTTTCTTTGTGCTCTTCCAGTTTGCCAGCTTCCCACACATGGTATTATCACTCTACACCAAGGTACACTATGCAATGAGCTCAAGGTTCTCATAGGAGACCTGACGTATGGACCAGGGAGTAAAAATTTAGTGAATGATACAAAAATGACACAGAGATCTTTTTACTAAATCATGAAAAAAAAAAGAAGCAAATAATGTCTTATTTTTATCCTGTTTTTACATGGGTGAACTTCCCCAAGGAAACAAGGGAATGATTGAATGAAGTCAATATAAAAAGGACATCTGTTCCCCATTTTTTAATTTCAATTCTAGGAAAATTTGAGCTTTTTAGAGTATGGTTCTCTAACTGGTTACCAAAAGTTACCAACTGAATTACCATGACAGACACAAGCAAGGTGCACAAAGAATGATTTGAGTCATCTTTGGGAAGTGTTAATGCAAACCATTCTTTTTCCTTACTTTTTCTCCTGGTCAAGGACTGATCAGCACTGATCATATGTAATTAGTCAGAGTTTTAAATGAACTTTGGACACACTCTTGGTCCAAGTAAATGTAGTGAGAAGTGAAATAAAGGGTTTGACCAGTGAAAGGTAAGATTGTTAACCCTTTAACCCCCTTGAGAGACTCACATCTATCTTCTCATCTAGGTATTACTGCTGAATCAGACAGTAGGCTCATGAGAATTGAGAAAATGATCGCAATTATGAAAAACTCTTGATTTTTACCTTAATTCTCCCTGTCGGTGCCACAGGAAATGTTTAAAGAACAGTATGGAGAATATGTATGCTGATGTTAGGGTGTCAAGGGTTAAAGGAACAGTGAGAATATTCTGCTAGGATCAATACTGCTGAGATAATTTTTCCTGAAATTGTAATAGTCTTAATCTTAAGCTATCAATTTTGCATTAACAGCTAAGTGGTAGAAACCTGAAGAGAGGAAGGGACCACTTAATGTGGGTTCTGTTACAGTTTATCTCTGGAAGTATTCAGAAAAATCCTGTAAGTTTATTGCTGATGGATTGTAAATGCATGTACTTACAACCTTCATGATATTGTCTAGTTGCTGACAATACTGACATATGTATTTACCTACAGCTATATATTCTGCAGTGTCGTATCTTAAAGAATGCATTCATTATGGTAATAGATCGGCATGACTGTATGACTGTATGTTAACCATGAGTATTAATGTTGTGAAATGAATTTAAGGGAGGAGAATATTGATTAAAGGGTGTTGTAAGTTGTAACCGGAATATTTATAGACTTTACATAGTTATGCCTTTTGATTAGATATGTTCAAACAATTATGAATTTAAAATTTTGATTCTACTGTACATTCAAATCAATATCTATTATTTGTTTGGTCTGATACTTGCAGCTCAGTGATTTCCGGCCTGTGATGAAGTTGTATGATTTACTTTACCCAGAAAAGCAGGTTGGTAAAATACAAGACATATACTTATGTAACATTACCTAGATCATTCTCTTTAATTTCAGGTCCCTTGAAAATGACACCTGTCAAGGTTTAGCTAATTTCAAAATCATAAGTTGGCAACCTGAAATCATGGTCACCTGATGTAAAATTTCAGGCAGCAGCCCCAAAAATCACCTTTTACTTCAGCTCATAAGCACTAGTAAATGAAAATATTACTGTTCCCCACATGACTTCTGAACACGGGTTGCCAAATCTGCGACTTTGGTGCAAAGTTAGTCACCAAATTTTCTCTCTACTAACCATGGCAACCAAAACAGGAAAGCTAATTTTAAGCGCTTGTCATATTTTATGATGTTACATTAAATACTTGTCCTAAGTGGCATTATAGTCCTTGGTAGATACTGATACCACTCCACCTTTCATTTCTTTCTCTGAAAATAATGTTATTCAAATGTCCAGTTAATTCCCAAGTGCAACAAAATCTTTGCATGAAAGGCTTCAGAGCAATGCATCTTATAGACAACAAAAAATTTAGTTTTATGTGCCTGTAAAGCTAAGCTAGTTCGTCATTAACTAAAATGTCAGTATAAGATTCATCTGTTTGCAAAGATTGAAAGATGTCGGTTTGAAGCTTAGGGTTACCTGTTTAGATTTCAGTTTTTGAAGTTTGTGTTCCCCAGTGCAAAGAAAATACATATGTAATATCAAGGGTGAAGTTGAAAAAAAAAGGAATGCAGGAATGCACAACCATAAATTAAGGTAGTAAGCAAATACACCAGCCAAAAATTGGATGAGTTATGCTCAATTTGAGTAAAGTTTGTATTTAAGTCTGTGTGGAGAAAACTTACTTCAGAATAGTTCTGGTAAGTTAGAGGTTTAATCTTTAATTAAATATCTTCTTTTTATGTGATACTCTTTTTTCAGCCACTGTCAATACCAGATATAACTTCTGCTGATTCAGTACACTCCTTAGCTATGGCCTGTATATGGATTCACTTATCAAAGAAGGTTTTTATTAGCATTAATTTAAATTATACAATGTTCAAGAAAAAAATTATACATACAATGTTAAGACATCAGAAGTTCCAAGAGGGTGGAAAAATCACCTTCAGTTTAACTATGTGCTTTTCTGGAAACAGCAAACTGTCATATGATGTTAACCCTTTTACACCAATGAGTGACCAAGATAGAATTTCTCCTTACATTATCAATACAATATTAAGCAGATAAGAGATGAGAACTAAGAAAAATATCAGTCAGGGGATTGTTAATTAGTTGATCCAATACCAAATTCTCTGAACTAGCATCATGAACATTGTATAACAGACAGTAAGGTGAATTGCCAGCAAGATCCTGAAGGTGGAAGAATTAAATTGAGTTTGAGTTTGTATCAGTCTTCTTGATAACTGTGAAATTGGAAAAGTCTGGTCTTTCAGCTTATTTCTTGTCACTCATTCCAAGTTGTCAAAGGAATGTCCATAGGACCATTTCCCTGGAGTATTGAGTTCAAGTCACTTGTTTTTTATTGGTAAAGATGTGATGATTTCCTTTGTTTTTAGGCCCAATCTGAGGATGTAACTTGGAGACCACCTGTTCCTCACATCCTTAAGGATCAAATTGAGTAAGTTGTCCTGAATCTTTATTTTATAATAGTGGACAAAATTATTGAAACCTGTGTAAGCTTAGTTAATGTATCACAAAAATTACTATAGAGTTCTAAAGTATCTTGATTTAGGAGGGGAGGTGGATGGCCAAGTGGGTAACTTGCTGGATGGGTCACTGTACTGATTTCCTCTATCAGTTCCTCTTAACTCTTTAACTGCCAAGATCTGAATGTTAATTCTCCCCTCTGGTTGTTTCACATTTCCTTATAAAGTAGTGACAAGAATTTGGTGTTAGATTATAACATATATTAGATGACAAGTTCCACCTGATAAGTTTGAATGTTCTCAGTACCTGTTTGCTGGATAATGTATGGATGTTATGGGGAGATGTTACTTGAGAATTACTTCTGAGAGTTTAAAGGTTAAGGAAACCTGGTGATGGAGATTAATGAGAGAAGATAAGCATTTTACTGGGAGAGTTTAGCTGCTGTATCACTCCTAGTTACTGCATGCTATAGAAACTGGGAGTAGCTGTGGTGGATGAGTGACTGGTCTACTAATTTCATATCCAGATACCACTGTCACCACATGTTTTCTTAAACAATTGAAAGTAACAGTTGAAAGTTGTACGATTTAAAAAAGATACAATTTATACAGGTATTCCCATAAGAGCAACAGACAGAACAACTGTAATTTTGCTTTCTTCTTTTAGATTCATACAGAACAGATCAGGGGGAGCCAGTTCATTTTCCTTGAATAATTACAAGATTCCTCTTCTGTGTAATGCTTGTAAGTGTATGAGCGGCTATTAAGTGACAAAAATGCACATAGTTAGCCAAGTAGTCACTTAGAAAATATTTTAGTCAAAGCAAAAATGAGGGAAAGTTTTAAAGGTAATTGACAGATACACATGTCTAAGCTCATGCCAAAAAAATATTTTTAAACTTTTGCTATCAATAGTTTTTGGCCATGTTCACAACATGACCAAAAACAAGACCTGTGACCTGTCTGTCATTTCATTGTTCAAATACATGTATGCTGGTAGATTTATTGTTAGCCCTTCCACATCATATGATAAATGGTCCAACTTCAAGTTAAGATTGGGTGATAAATTCTGTTTTCCACTTTTTACAAATTTTTATAATTCAAGTAAGGAATTAGAGAGTGTTCTCTTCACTTCTGGCGTTCAAAGTGTCTAAAAGATCATTTACCTTTGACTCCTGTAGCAGCAGAGAGTACCTTCATTACAGACTAGGAAACACTAGACAGAATACCGAAACAAGTTTCCCCAAATAGACTTCTCTTTTTACTGTTTTCCAACAGACAGTACCAACCCAGAGTATTTCAGTGTTCCAATGGCTATGTTGGTTGAGATGTGTTATGGAAACAACAAAAGTTCCACACAGCTTCCAGGCCCTTCAAACACACTGGCTGCAGCACCAACAGTTCCTTGTCCAATGAGTCTTTTGGATTCACTCACAGTCCATGCAAAAATGAGGTAAAGAGCTCCAAATATCTAATTGTAGGCTAATACAATAATAGCTTGAGTCAGGTTCAAGCAATGATTGTGTGTGGCCATTGCATACCCTTCCTCATTTTTTTATATTATTATCATGGGCACGCAACTACTTCAGCTCTGTCGTTGCTTAGAATTCTCCGCTACTGTACTCATTTATTCTCTAATCTAGTTCACCATATTTATTAATACATAAGTAAGTTACAATGAATTGTTAAAAGGTTGGATAAAGCCAACCAACGGATAAATTGCTATCCAGTATAATATTACTTTCTTTTAAGAGGAATTATTGTATTAGGCCCTGAAACTCGAATGTTTCTGCCATGTAATGTGTCTTCCCTTTCTTTAACCCATTAACAAACGTTTGATTTCTGATTTTTATGCTCAAAGATTCATTCTTAGCAAAGGCTTCAATCAAAAATTTGTCCAGGATTTCAATGGTTTTCTTCGCCATACTTTATGGCGTATACTTTATATACTTTTTTCCTAGAAAACAGATTCTGAATGGACATCAGTACGCCCACAACCCTTAAACCATCTAAGAACATTTTTCCATTCAGTTTTATTCACAGTATTGTTAATCGTATCATCAAGCTTGGTAACTCACAAGTTACACTTGCCCTGGCCCCAGCACTGGTGGAAACGTACAGCCGTCTGCTTGTCTACATGGAAATTGAGTCTCTCGGAATCAAGGGCTTCATAAGTTAGTGCACTAGTTACTCTTGTACCTTATTCACACCAGTAAAACGTGTTTAGTTAGACCGGTTTTAGCTGATAGAAAATCAGAAACGGAGAACTGGAAAACTGAATTTTCCATACGTTCCAAGTAGTCACGAAATTGTATTTTAAATGTGCTAGATTTAAAGTGTACAAACATCGTTTTAAGCAGCTTCTATGAAGAAAACAAATTTTCAACCTTGTCTAGCAAAGGTGCTTTAAAGCATGTTTAAGCTTTTGTGTGAATGGGTAATTGGTCTATTTACATTGTGCTTGGCTGTGAATGGTCCATCATTTTTTCTGAGGCTGAAAAGATTGCAATAGGTAGCATCCGAGCACTGATACCAAGGAAAAAAAAGTGAAGAGAAGTTGTTATTGTCTCCAGTATAGTTTTATTATGTAAAAACATTGAGAGAAATGCGAAACTACGGAAATCAAACGGTACTCTATCAGAGCTTTAATAAGCAGCTGCCGATGGTGTGCCCCGGAGATGGGGCCGTTGAAGAAACGCAAACACAGAGCGTGCTCGTAGGCTCAACAGTCAACAGTCTTTTAGTTGGCGATAGAGCGTTGGTTTTGATTTGATTGAAATTCTTTTATTATGGGGTTAAAAAGTCAGTTTGAGAAAAAAATGAACATGTGAAAATTTACTATGGTAGTGTTTTTTTTTCTGACCACCAACAGGCTCGTTGCTTCCCAACGTGTTCAAGAGCCACGCATGGGGAATTCTCCACACATTACTGGAAATGTTTAGTTACCGGTTGCATCATATCCAGCCCCACTACAGAGTTACTTTACTTTCCCATCTACACTCACTGGCTGTAGTGCCTCACACGAACCAGAATCAACTTCATTTGTGGTAATTCTGCTTCAACCGATGTTGTTTTAGTTTTCTTTTTCGCGTTTGTGGGAGGCACTTGGCCAAATGGTTAGTGCGCCCCGAACTCCGGCTCGAGAGGTCTGGGTTCGAGGCCTGTGGGTCAACAAAAAAAAACAAAAAACTTCTCTCTCGCAGTGCCTCTCTCCAGCAGAGAGTATGAGTAGGTACTAGTGAATTGTCAGGGAAGCCTGATGAAATGCTGGAAGGGGAGGGTAACCTTGCGATGGAATGGCATCCCATCCAGGAGGGAGTAGTAATACTCGTAGTCGCTTCATGCTATGAAAACTGGGACAAACACCGGCTGGATGGGCCGATAGGCTTGAGTACAGACTTAACCAATTTTTACCTCGTGTTTGAGCCACAAATTTCACTTCGCCCAAAATTACTTGCTGGGTTCTGGGGTACACCCCTCCTTTAAAGCAGACATCTTTTATAATCCCTGTACATTTTACAGTGTCGAAAGTACAGCTCTTAGACTCATCACTGGATTGGGAAGCTCTGAAGTACAGCCACAACTGTCGCGTTTCAACCCTGAGCCTAAACAGGTAAAATGTATAGTGCTGGAATGAGATGATGAAGCTACATGTACATAAAACTTTCAATTAAATTCAACCTGTATACTTGAATTCAAATCTCCTTTCCGTTTGCTCTTCTTGTAGTACCTGGCCTAATTCAACTGGGTAGCGAATTTTTAACATACACTCAAAAGTTGAATGAAATCATCTTTCTGGGTAATTAGTGAACATGTTGTGCATGTGATGTCTATTTATCCAGCGCCAGCCAATTCTAGATAAATTTGGAAAAGGGCTCCTGAACAATAACCGCTGATAGACACACTTGACTACATCCCTGGTCCTGGTCATGCGCAAACTAGGGCCTTAGGCCCGCCGGAAAAAATAGAAAGAGCAATAACTCTAGCGTTTCAAAAAACGTTGTTTCCAAAATGATTTTTGTCCATACTATAGCGGAAAACCGTCGTCTTCAAAATTTTCTGGTTTGATGAACTTTTTAAAAATTGCTTTTGGTATACTATTTGTCTCGTTCAGTGCAGAGTAGCGCTTTCAAATTTCTCCCACTTAAATTTGGTACCGTCAGAAAAATGATGATTTATAGAACGACGGTAGTCAAACCTTTACTTCATAGGATAACTTCTGTACAGCACCGATCAAACGCAGCAAACCCTTGATAAGAACGACTATTTTTGGCAACATTTTCAATGCAATATGACACGATGCCTTTAATCATTCAGTATTTTTTTCTCCTAGCTGTTGTCGGGTGAATCCGAGGAACTAAACAGGGCTCTTGTACTTACCATAGCACGTGCCATGCATATTACTTGTAAGTAGTTGTATTGTCAGTAGTAATTTAGTTCACAGCTTTCCTTTATTCTGCTGCTGTGTAGTGATTTAGTCGTTGGCCGTAACCTCTTTAGTCTTTTAAATTGAAAACTCAAAAAAGACTCAAACCCTTGTTGTTTGGTGTCAAGTGCCCTCTATGTGTTGGGCGGGGATTGGTGACAGGTTCTCTGTTTCACTCGAGCTTGCTGCTAGCCTCTTTAAGTATGATTGACACACACAACTTACATACACTCGGTTTGTAATTTTTTTCCTTTGTTTGTTTGCGTGCTGATGAATGATTACCTCTGTCATTAAAAGTTCCGTTCTGTTCTCCACTTTTCTACAATACCTTAAACACAATATAATCTTTCTTTGAAGCTGCTGAATCATCTTCTAACTGGTACGAAGGAATCCTTAGATCGCTGATTGCGAATACTCCACATAGGTAAGTGTATAAAACTAAAACCAAAGTTGTCATCGCAAGCCTGAGGGCCAATCAGAAGAAAGGAAAATACCTTTAAGAGCCAACAAGAACTCAAGGTTAATCAACTGACCAAACTGCTTAAAGCACGGGAAAACGCGCGCGACCAACTAGTGGTTGGTTTTTGTTTTCCATCTTGGTCGAGAGAGTGACGCGAATTTTCTGAACCAGTCACAGAGCGAAGTAAAGCGAAACCATAGCAATGCCAGATTACTTTCGACACTCTATTGGAAATTACTATGTTTTGACGTCGTTAGTTAACCTAAAAGCTTTGGGTTGGATTGTTTTTAATTTTTTTACATTTTTCACTCTGACTAGCTGGGCCAGTCACACTCTGGCGTGCTTTCCTCAGCCTCTTCAACAATTCTACGCACAAAACCCTTGCCCTCATGAAACCAAACAAGAGCTTAGACAAAGAGTCGAAGACGAGTATAGAAGATGGAAGAGTAAGTTCTAAGTCTAAATAATTCTTTCCTACATGACATAGTCAGGGTCTCAATAACTATTTCCATAAGCAGCTGCTGTTGGTGAAGAAGGCGGCTGTGCCATGAGGCAAAACCTCACGAGAGCCTACTCGCAAGCTAAACAGACGGCGGTAAGAGGTGTTACCTGCGGCGGTGGACCGACAGTAACCGGCTTTTAACGAAATCCCAGCATAGTTATGCACAATGTAAGGAGCCAATTTCATTTGTATTACCACAATCTTAGTGGGGGTCAGGAAATGACAATAAACCTATTCAAATATTGTGGCTAAAGCCTAAATTTGAATTTTATATTCTTCTTTCAGCAAAGTCTTCAGAAAATGAAATCTTGAATCATTTTGCGGATCCATCTTCAACAAATGTTTTCATTTGGTAAGCATCACCATGACCGAGCTCTAAGAAATTTTAAATGATAAGCTGAATAATACCGAATGTTTGGTTTTTACCTGTGATCTATTGGAGGACAGACGCCTAGATGACGTTAACATTGACAGCATTTTTCTTTTGTATCATATAAAACAAATGGAATCCATGTCTCTGTGAGACTGTTCAGAAACAGATCACAGATGATATCAAAATGTGGTAAGAACACCATTTAGTGACACACTCGGCTGCACCTAGTGTGCTTTGTTTTTGTTCTTACCACATTTTGACATTATCTGTGATCTGTTTCTGAACGGACTCACGGCAACATGGAATCTTTTGTTAAGTTTGAATTTTTAAAGATATATTCAGCACAGGAGCTGCTGCAAATTGTTCAGCTTAGAGCAATGTTTAGCTTTGCTAATAAAAAAGAATTTCCGATTTTCGTATTCAGCTCTGCTGACAGCTCATGCTCCACAAAACAAGGCAATGAGTCCAAAATTTTTAGGCCTTCCAACAAAGTTGATGTGTTCTTTATGATTACTCAAGACTTTGGCAAATTTATGTATTGTACATGAACTATAAGCCTAGCAAACCTTGATGATAGGTTTTCCTACTTTGCAGCATCTTGTGGAAGATGTTATTAGATTCAAACCGCCTAAGCCCGGTTTGTCACAAGTAAGTTTACTGTTCTGTATCAGGGCAGTGATTCAACGCAGGGATCAAAACCATGTTTTTGTGTTTGTAAACTTGGATTGCTCATCAGTTTATGATTCTTTTTATAATTACTGTAAAAATTGAATGGTCTTCTCTTATTTCTGTGCATTTGTTTAAGTGATTGCATCACAGTCCTGAGTGCCTACTCTAGCATTCAATAACTTTATCATCTCATTCATACAGAGTGTTGGAGCGCCTGGGAGCACGAGCTCTTTCCGCGCATGTGCGTGTATTTGCCGATTATTTGGTGTACGAGTTTTCGACATCCGCGGCAGGAAAACACATTAACAAGGTCAGAGAAGGCACTTAATGTCTGATGGCTGTTTTGCGCCATAAGAGATATAATTGTTAGTAAGTTGGTTTTTTTTTTTAATGTTGATATAAATGAGAATGATAAATTTGAGTGTGGTGATTTTAAATGAAAGATGTTGTTAGTCAGTGAATGGTTCAGGCATACTCGGAAAAAAGAACTTCGAGTGCTCCCAATGGTAGTTAAATCTACGCCCTTGGCTGTTTTGCGCCATAAGAGATATAATTGTTAGTAAGTTGGTTTTTTTTTTTTAATGTTGATATAAATGAGAATGATAAATTTGAGTGTGGTGATTTTAAATGAAAGATGTTGTTAGTCAGTGAATGGTTCAGGCATACTCGGAAAAAAGAACTTCGAGTGCTCCCAATGGTAGTTAAATCTACGCCCTTGCGATTAGTGCTTCGAACTCTCTGCCACTGAGCTCTATGACACTCTTGGTAGGCTTGGCCGTTTAAGGCCATGGTGACATGGTTTGGTGTTCTTCACGGTTGATTCATAGGTACTGATATTTCGAGATACTTCTTGCAGAGATTTTCAATATCTATCTAGGTTTGGTTAAACTAAGATGGTACATTTCTGCACAGCCTTTTGTTTGTGTGTGTGTATTTCTTTTTTCATAAATGGAAACCCATTTTCAGGATAATTTAACGCTAATTTGTGAAAATTGACTTGTTTCTCATCTTCAGTGCATTGTACACCTGAATGACCTAATATGGAAGTACAACGTCGTTACTTTGGACAGGCTGGTCCTCTGTCTGGTTGGTTTTAGTCTCTAGTGCTTAGTCATTTGAGGTTTTTGTTTTTTTTTCGTTTTGAAGCAAATATTTTCTGAATTGTTTCGAGTTGTGGTAGAATTTAAAAGAAACGAATGGCCATCTAAATCTCAGGGCCATTGAGGAACCGAAATGTAAATTGTATTTTATAATACGCATATTTGATGCATAGCTTTCAAAGATACGTGCTGAGAAAATCGGTCCAGTTTCGAAACGTTTCAAGTTAGAGGGAGATACAAGGTAACACAGAGGTCCCTGAAAGGTCGGGCATGCTCAAGGGGATTCACTTCCCGCGCGCCGATTTCCTCGCAAAATTTCAAAGGAAAACATAGGAAAAAACCAAAATAAGCGAAAGAAAACTGAGGATAGAAATCCGTGAAAAGGAAACAATAGAAGGGGAAAGGAAAACTCAAGACTTTTCGAAGCTTTTCCAGTTACGGGTATGTTGGTGATTTACCATTCTGTTTTGAGTTTTACCGAAAAAGTTGTACGCTTCTAAAACACCATGACTTACTGGCTTGTGTGGTTGTTTGGAACTCGTGTGAGAAAACTTTGTCATGGGAGCGCGCCACCTGGTCATGACAACGTTAGCACATGCGCAGACTTTTGACCGCTGTGTTTAACGGGGTAGATCTGCCTTCGTAAATCTTTTTTATTTCTACTTTCATGAAAAGTAACTCTCGATTATTTTCTTATTAGGCTTTGCGAAGTCATGAAGGAAACGAAGCCCAAGTCTGCTTCTTTATCATTCAGTTGTTATTGTTGAAGCCTCAAGACTTTAGAAACCGTGTGAATTCGTTCATACGAGATGTAAGTGTGTAGTTGGCTGGCGAATGAAAGAGAGGGAATGGGAATATTAATAATAATGAGAATTTAGCAGTGGATATTCCACAAGATAGTTTTTCTTGTCCACCGTTTCCAGGTTTGGAATTTGAATTTGGAATGTGGGTTTTTGCAGAGGGTGGAAAACTGGAGAACCCGGAGAAAAACCCTCGGAGCAAGGACGAGAACCAACAACAAACTAAACCCACATGTCACGCCGGGTCCGGGAATCAAACCCAGGCCCCTACTAGTGCGCATCCCCACTCCCTGCTAGTTCTTTAAGTATTTTAGGCGACCTTTCTTTCTGGAAGGCTACGAAGAAGACCGTGAATTTCAACGCCATATTTATAAAAGGTCATAAGACTGGTAATAGCTAAATTATTTATTTATTGCATTTCTGTTTGCCTTTTGTTTTTGTTCTTCCGAAGCTCATAATAATTGTGAAATTCCTTTCTTCATTTAGAACTCTCCTCACCACTGGCAACAAAATGAATGGCATCAGAAACACATGAACTATCACACGGCAAGTTGTCAACTAGTTGGCCGCATGTAATATGTTACAAGGCGGTCTCAATAGGGTGATGGCTTTTACGGCTAACATTTAATTTTTGGCCATTTTTAACGATTACCTTCCTTCCTTCCTTTATGATCAAAAAAAGATAGTTTACTGATAACTTTTTTAACGACTAACAGTTAAAATTTGTCAATTTTAACGCCAATCAGCCAAATTTTTTGGCCGTATTACGGCTAACAGAGAACACCATTGAAACCCTCTTACAATGCCAGCAGTAGTTCGTTTTATTTTATCTCTCAGTCAGTTCGTGTGCCATTATGGGTCAATTTTCACTGTACGGCCCTGTAAATTCAAAAGTTTGTTTAAATTGAAATATTCCACATCCATTTAAACCATAGATATACAAAACATATAACTAACCTCGTTTTCGCGGTAGATACGAGATATTTAATCTGAAAAATAACAAAGCTATTTTCCTAACAAAGTCTTGTATTTCTGAATTTGCCTATTTGTGACTTATCGGGATAGAAAAACATTTAAAGGGGGTAAGTTTCCTAACAAATAGTGGTGCTGCGTCGGTGGGAGAGTATAACAAGGTAATTAAGTATTATCAACTGAGTTGATAACGTAAATTGGCCACCATAAAGAGTTTTAAAGCTGACGTTTCGAGTGTTTGCTCTTTATCAGAGCAAATGACAAAGGGCTAACGCTTGAAATGTCAGCTTTGAAACTCTTTCCGGTGGCCAATTTACGTTCTCGACTTAGTTGATAATACTAAATTACCAAGGAAAAAAATATCTTTACTTGACGTATTAATTTTCCTTGTATAGAACTGTCGTGAAGGTTATTGACGAAATAAGTTTGCTGATGAGATGTTAAATTAACTCCTTAACTCCCGAGATCCGATTGTTACTTCTCCCGTTCAGCTGCCACACATTTCCTTGTAAATGAATTACCAGAATTTGGTGTTTAATCAAGATAACAACTTCTACCTGATAAGTTTGAGTATTCTCAATAGCTGCTTGCTGGGTAGTGTATCGATATTACAGGGAGAAGATACATGTTTATCACTCCTGGCAGTTAAAGGGGTTATATTAAGCGCTCATAAATCATGTGGTACAGCTTCGTGTTACAGAAAACATTCAAACCAGAAAAAAAATGCAAACAAACCGTCAAATTTAGAATTAACACCCGTCAAATGAGTTTATTGTCCACGCCAATTATGTGGAGGATGTGTGTTTTCCTCTTTTGAATTCTTCTCATCTCGTCTAACTTTTACATCACAGACCTACCCTGAGAGGTTCTATTTCGAAGGTTTGTTGGAATCCGCAGGGACCTCAGTACCAACAGTGCAATATTTGCCTATCTACTTTGGTAATGTGTGTCTTAGGTTTTTGCCGGTAAGTTTTGAGTCATCATTAGGTTGATAACTAAATTTGAGGCCTAATATATCGTCATATTGGTGTAGAAAAGCGGTTGGCGTATCTTGAAAGATGTAGCCAAAGATTTCGACCTTTTTTAAGTGCAATATGTCCATCCTTTGTTTATTTTGTTCTCCCCATTGCGGAAGGTGTACCAAACAAATATTTCTTGATTTCCTTCAACTCAGAGATATCGTGACTAAATAGGCCCTTGCTTTGACATATTACACCAGAGTTACCAAACGAGTTTTGTTAATTGTTTTTATCGATCCAATTTTTTCGACCATAAAACTCACCTTTCGACAAGTGGGCGACATACTAACCCAACAGTCAAAAGACAGAGAAGACTACAACAGCGCGAGTCACTAACTTAAAAGTAAAGGCTTAATCACAAACGTTCCTTAAAAGTTCTCCAATGAAATGACAGAGGAAACTACGACCGACCAAGATTCCAACGTAACAATCAAATGACTGAAAACTCAGTACGGGAGATACTAACGTAATAATCAAATGACAGTGAAAACTACCAGTACGGGAGATACTAACGTAACCATCAAATTAGAGTGAAAACTGCAAGTGCGTGAGATACTAACGTAACAATCAAATGACTGAAAACTACCAGTACGGGAGATACTAACGTAACAATCAAATGACTGAAAACTACCAGTACGGGAGATACTAACGTAACAATCAAATGACAGTGAAAACTTCAAGTGCGTGAGATACTAACGTAACAATCAAATGACAGAGAAACCTTCGAGTGCGCAAGATGTTAAAGAAAAATTACAGAGAAATTTTCGAGTGCGCTAGATATTTACGAAACAATCAAATAACAGAGAAACCCTCGAATGCGCGAGATGCTAACGTAACAATCAAACGACAGAGAAACCTTCCAGTGAGCGAGATATCACAGAAAAAATTAAATGACAGAGAAACTTTCGAGTGCGCGAGACATTTACGAAACAATCAAATGACAGAGAAACCTTCGAGTGCGCGAGATATTAACGAAACAATAAAACGACAGTGAAAATTAAAGATGCTTGAGATACTAACGAAACAATCAAATGACATTTGACTGTTACGTTAGTGTTTCGCGCACTTGTAGATTTGTTTATTATTTCAACTGCCTTCTGGTTTTAGGTTTTTGACATTGTTATTCAACGTTTTTTGGAACTTGCGCCAGTACACAAGTCATTGGAAAGTCTTCTCGATCACCTAGGCTGCCTTTACAAATTCCATGGTTTGTTGAAGTAACTTTTTGTTTATTAGCTCATAATGGAAAATTAGTTTTCTTACTAATTGAACAGCAAGCCGCCGTCGACACATGCACATCAACCGATAAATTCTTATCAAAAAGAGCAAAGAGAGTAAATTTGGTATCTTAGGTCGTATTTGGTCGGGATCAGCCTCTTAAACTGGTGTACGTTAAAGAGGTTGAAGTATGTCATCAGTGCACCTGAACAACCGTTTGCGGCTGAAACTCGGCAACTTAAGAAAATCAAGATAATCAGGAAGCCTAATTTAGCCTCGCTTCCCGTTGTTTTCTTTTTTTTACTGTGAGTTATCTCTTGTCCCTTACGAAATTTTTCTTGTTCTGATTAATCACTTAATTGCAATTGTTTTGGTTTTATAACACCCAGTCGAAATACGCCCTTTACTGAACAATATCACCAGACAAGTTCGTCTATAGCAAAATTGAATTGTACTTTGCAAAGCTGAAAGTTTTTACTTGTTTTAGTTTTTAACTGTCTTCTCCTCTAATGAACACTTAACTGGTTTATCGGGGCTCGTAAACAAGGTTGTTGTGGCCAAGAAACTAGTGTACATTTACAGTTGAGTGTAGTTACTCAGTGAGTTATTTTGACTTCTAATTTTTGTTCATTTGGGTCGATTATCGTGAAAAGTTTTGATTTTTAGTTGATGGTTTGCTCTAAGTAATCAAAAACAGTGGGTAGTAGAGTCGGACCCATGAAGGGAAAGCAAAAGAGATTGAAGTGGAAAGAGTCTGGAATGTTAAGGGTAAAACTAGAAGGTGATTGACCCTCAGAGAAGTAGAAATCTACCTAAGTTTGCGGGAGATTTAAGTCATTGAGAATCAAGATTTAAACAGTTGGTTGAACCCTCAATATTTTTTTCTTTTCTTTTTTCATCAGATCGCCCGGTGACCTACTTGTACAACACACTACACTATTACGAGCACTGCCTTCGAGACAAAGCGTCTTTGAAGAAGAAGCTTGTCGGGGCGATTACTAGTGAGTTTTCTCTTTGTCTACTCGTTTAAGTTATAGCCTCTGTAGCTAACACCCTGAGGATGAAGGTAAGGTCAAGTTAAGTCTCTGTAGGCCCTCAGAATGATGTGCAGTCTGGCTGGTGAAAAGAGGGCGCTTTGTAAATCACGGACATGGAATTGCTTTGTTTTGCTCCACTAACTTTGTAACTGGCTCAGGAATATGTGGCACCTTCTCAACCAATTACATCAGTGTAAAACCAATGTAATCATAACTTGGTCACACGCGTTTTCCCGCACTTTTTATATCACTGATGGCGGGAGGAAGAGAGATCCTGAACGAGGTTGTGATCTGAGAAGAGCGCGTCTATGTACCATTCATACATTTATTTGAGTGCGAGAAATATTCCGACCCAAACCCCCTCGCTTTTTGACTCCTCTGCTGCTTTCGGTCATTCATTATTTCGCTCTGTTTCATTAACTGAACGCCTGGAACAGGCTGAAAATGAATATCCAACATCGATATTACTTTGATTGAAAGACACGCTCAAGTTGTGGGAGAAATACGGTAGGAAATATGTCGAACATTGTCGAAGAAGAACGGGAAAGAGGGAAAGTTAATTTCGATCCTTCAGTCGATCGAAAAAGGATATGGTACCTAGCAACCTTTACCTGTGGCTCTCTCTACGACATGGCTGTCCATGACGGTAAAATTATAGAAATATTAAAATTTGTTTCCATTCATATTTGACAGGTGCTCAAAAAGATGTCCATCCGGAAGGCTGGTGAGTATTGCGCCATTGTCTGTAACTTTTTGCCAACACACTTAGCCGCAGAGTAGTAATAATCTGAAGTGGTTTGACATTTTGATGAGTACAAGAGCCAGTCCTCCGGCGAAACGCATAAAGAAATGACTGAAATAAACTCCCGCTTACGGGCTCTCGCTATTACGGAAATGCGGACACTTTTATGCCCTCCAGCGCGACATTTCACTCGCTTTTTCTCTCGCTGTAGCGGACACTTCGTCCAGAATCCGGACTCACATAATACAAAGCGACATCACGATAAAGGAAAATAGAGAAACCATTCTTCAATTAGGTGCGAACATGAAAATTTCCTTCCGGATCTTCTCTGGTTCACTGATTTTCTGGTTCGTGAGGCCACGTTAGAAATTTTATATTTGCGTAATTGCATATTATTTCATATGTTTAGAGATTGAGTCAATATAAATCAAGCGACGAGAGAAGGAAAAATTTATGAAAGGAGATAATTGCTTAGGGTCAGGGTTAGGTTGGCAAAGAAGTAAACAGTGTTGTGTATCATCAGGTGTCTGTCTAGAGGTTATTTGGAGTTCCTGTCTAAACCTACCGGCCAAGACTCCTGGACCCCAGATCTCGCCTACTATTGTTCTTTGATTGGCAGACTTGTGGATAGTATCCTTTTTGTTCAGAAACAACTGGCCTTTTGACTTCATTTCATAATAAAACAGGGTGAGACTTAAAGGTGACAAGGGTTGTAACAAGATAATTTGGATTTATCAACTTAGCTGATAATGTGATTTGGTGAATTGGTCATTGGAAAGAGTTTTTAAGGCTGACGTTTCGCAGTCGAGCGGTAGCCCTTTCATAAGTTGCATTTGTTAATATTGAACATTGTTGAAGAAGAAGAGGAAAGGGAAATCTAAAGATCTACAACATTGCGACCTCCACTCGTGGCTCTTCCTACGTAATTTTTACCTCGAAATGTCAGCTTCATAAACTCTCTGGCCAATTTTCATTGTCCACTCAGTTGACAAACTAAATAAAGGTGAGACTTGTACCCGACATTATTTATCTCTATACCCAGTGAGTTACTTTAAAACAGACGATATTGAACTTAACAACTGGAAAGCCATTGCTGGTAAAACCCCGCCGCCATTTCCAGCTTGTGATTGGCGTTTCAACGAATTTCCCAATCCTGTTGCGCATGCACTTCACGTAACTTGGGTGGAACTGATGGCGTTACCTGTTAAGGGACCGGAAGTTGGTGAAGCGTTGTTTGACGTCATCTTTAAAGGAAGCTATGTGACACACGATAGTGACATTCGAGCAAATATTATGGAGTGGATCAATGCTGTCGGATTAGTTTTGTCCGCACTTCCGGTACGTTGAGAATGTTACTTCCTCTCAGAAGTTATGGCGGGGTGTGTTACGTTTTTTTGGGTAGGACACTTTATTTACGCAAAACTGCTAACAACTCAGAAGTTTAAATAGGTGCCAGGAAACTTTCGGGGAAAATTTATGAATTGCGCAGGAAAGAGGTACCTGCGATAGAGTAGCGTTTCCTTCCGGTCACGTGGTTGTGGCAATACTCCTGGTCACCTGGTTGTAACGTCAACTAATGATACAGATCCAATAGTTGCTTCTCTCTTGCACTTCGTTGCATCTACAGTTGAAGGTTCGAAAAGGCTTTATTTTTTTATCAATGCTTTACAAAGGAATACGAACGGTACTTCGATTTATCTCGTCTAACTCGGCCTCTGAGCCAAAGAAGAATTACAAATTGTTAATCTAATAAGACTATCGCTTTGGACTACCTTCCGTTATCTTTGTTTATATCTCTCATGTAATCATTAGGAGCCTTACTGGAGTGTGGTGTATGATAAAATCTGTATGGCTCTCAGAAGAGAGCTCTCTGCCAAGGAAGTATCGACAACTCCTATCGTTCTCGAGGACCGTGGGAGAGCCGCTCCATTCCCCTACTCATTCTTAGAGTTCTCTACCAATGTCGCCATGCATTCAGAGACCGCCGCTGACTATGTCTTGGCAGTCGCGCATGCGGTCTGGCACCATACAAGTATCGGTCAACTGAGCCAGCTTCCACAGTACGTACAGCTGAATTGTTTGCGCCCAAATGTATTATATTTTTTGTCACTGTAAAACTTTCACTGCGTAGTGTACTTGTATTTCGACTTCCTTCTATTATTATAATAAGGTATTGTCCAACAGGAATGCTTTTTTTAGTTACAAAGCATGACTTCAAGTCATTTTGACCAAAGCTTTCAAGACAGTTACTTATATGTAACCAAAAACACACTTCAGTTAAGTGTCGTAGAACCCGAAACAAACTATGCACTAAAACAGGGGTTTCAATAACTTTTTGCGTAAGCGACTACCAATAGTGTAAGCGGCAATGCCCGGAAATGGGCTGTAAGACGAAACCCAAACACGAGTGCTGCTCGCAGGCTGAACAGATAGCGGTAAGAGGTCTTATAGGCGACAGTGGACCGCCGGTAACTGGCTTTAATGAAACCCCTGACTAAGAGTAAACAAAATTTTAAAAAAATACCAAACTAACCGATGCGAAATAAAAATGCATGCATGTACCTTGTCTCAAGCCCTGGAAAACGTGACTGAACCCTGTGCATTACGAATGTCTTCAGACACTTAATCATATCACAATTCAATGCGATGTTAAAATTTGGCACTTTTTTGTTTGCCTTTGTTTTATCTCTCTTTTTTTTAATCGTAGTTTTGATTGGCCTCCTGACGAACGGTTTGTTTAAAATCTCAATCTTACCGGCCATATACAAAGTGTGGTTTTAGATATTGAAGGACCCCTAAGCGTAGGTTCACCGTGTTACCTTCATAGAACTTAGTTTCAACTATTCAGCCTTCCTTTTTTTTCTAACTCGTGCCTTTTGTTCTTCATAGGTTTCTTCGTGACCGCGTATCTCCGCTGGTCACAAATGAGGCTCAGTTTCTTTACGTGTGTCATCTGGTTGGACCATTCCTTCAACGTTTTTCCCAAGAAAGACTCAGATGTCTACAAGAGGTATCAAGGGCGGAACACTCTGAGCGACGAGTCACTGCGTTCGCCTCGTTTGACATTAAGAATTTAGTGAAAACCTTTGTCTCTGCAGCAGAATTAAGTCGCCTCGATTTCGATCCGTAGCATGAATGTAAACTTGTTTTGGAAGCAGATCACGCGAAGTAGCTTTCCGCAGTGACCAGTCGTTGCGATATTCGCTGAGCGGGTCCCAGTCTCTCATGTGTCGCTTGTGTTTTCCCGTCATCTACCATTTTGTAAAGTCAGCTTCAAAACAGCTGATTTTGTCCCCAAAAAAACTGAAAAAATACTTTCGGTGACCCGATATTTTGGCGTCCATGTTAAGACAAATCTCGACTAACGATTTTAGCGAAGGCAAATAGAACTAATCAGAACCCTCTGTCGTGAAAAAAGAGGCAAAATAATTACAAGGGCTGATGGGAACGAAGGAAACCATCACAAGCCAATCAGAGCTGGAAGTTAAAAGACGTGACCAACTTTTAAGGGCCAGAAAATGCGAGATTCCAAGTAGCCTGCGAGTCTGCTCGCAGGCTAGATGCTAAGCGGTGATTGTATGAGAAGGTGGCATGGAAAGTGAACTTTGTGCGGTTTTCTTTAGTTGATAGTTGCTCCAACCGTGTACGTGAGCGAATAGCTCAGCTATTTAAACTGGTGCATTTTGACTCTCTTTATTTTCATTTTAATTTGACAGGTAGTTGTGGAGCTGTATCATCTGCTGGAAAAAATTAACAGAGAAGTTCAGCATATTCACCACGTTGACACAATTTGTGACTTCTTGTATCCTGCTGTAAATGAATATTATGGATGAATCTGTCGTAAAATGCTCTCATCTCGATTAAGAATTACTGTCAAATAAATTCGTAAAACCTCTTTTTCAAATGAATTGAGGGGGTAAGTTTCTAAAGAAAATGTGGTGCTTCGTCGGTGGGGGGTGTGACAAGGTCATTGTTTTTTCGTCAGAGTGAACAATTCGCTCTGATGAAGGGCTCGAAACGTCAGCTTAAGAAACTTTATTGTGGCCAATTTACATTATCAACTCATTTGATAAAACCAAATTGCCTTTTTTTTTTTAAATGTTTTACATGCGTTAATAGAAGAAAAGGCTTATCTGTAACGGAAGTTTATTTTTAAGAATTACATTGTTAGATACAGCAATTCGCTTTAAATATCAGGTAATTTAGTCTTAACAACTGAGTTGAAAACGTAAATTGGCCACCGTGAAGGATAAAAAAGCTTACGTTTCAAGCGTTAGGACTAACGTTCGAAACGTCAGTTTTTTTATTCTTTGTTGTGGCCAATTTACGTTTTCAACTCACTTGTTAACACTAAATTACCTACTATACTCTCCCACCGACGCAGCACAGTTTCTTTAGAAACTTACCCCCTTTATTCACTATAAATATCAGGTGATTTAAGGTAACACTGTCGTCCCTTTCGTTAAGATCGCTCTGATACTCTGACTTAAAAGTGTTACAATTTCTTCAAAAATGACTTGAAAAATCCCGCTAGATCTCCAAAATGTAGAGAACATTTATTAGTTTAAGTTCTTTAACTATATATCTAAGATACCACATAAAGTACATGTTTATAGGAGATATTATCAAAGATGAAGTACTCAAGATCATTCCTCAGCTTCGCCAGTCCTTGCAGATTCGTTTGAGATTCATGACACAGAATGTAAAAAGAGATGATACTTCAACATTGGCTTAAACGTCACTGACCAACTCAACTCACGGACAGACATGCATTGAATAACTGCTCCAAACGAGAGCGCATTTGGGGACAAATTTGCTGTAAAGCCGGAAACGTGTGAATTAAGGAATGGATAGAAAATAACTCATTGACTCAACACTAGATGTAGTTGTTGCTCGTTGTATCGTAAATCAACGTGACTTCTGTGTTAGTCAAGATTAAGATGGATGAGGGAAGATAAATGTTGGAAGATGCATTTGAAGGACCCACCCAGCGCCATCAGCTTATGGCCATGTTGTGAATAAAATGTAACCCTGTAACTTCAACGAAATCAAACTCGCCAACACAACGAGCCAACGAGCCCACATATCGGTTTTTTTGCCAACATTTTCTGTCAAATCCTTAAGTTTATGCCTAACTCGTTGACTCGAGACCTGTCATGATTTTAAGAAGATGAGATCATTATCAAGTGGTTATGAAGGATGTTATGGGCAAGTTAGTTGTCAGACAGTTTGCGTGTTGGAAAAGTGACCGGTATCAAAAGGCAAACTCGAGTTGAACTTAATGTAACTGATTAATGTAATCTTCGTAGGAGAGTTCTTTCATATATGTGGGCTGTAAACTTATGGACTCCTAACGCTTAAATTTTTAGACTGTGTTGAAATAACAGTGTTTAGTCTACATCACGGTACAGCTATAAAAGGTTCATTAATTTACAGATCTTCATTGTTTGGGTCTTGCTTGTTTATTCTTGACTTATGATTGTGGGTTTCCAAACTCTATGGACAGTTATGTAAACTGCTTGAAGTGTAAGTGACAAGCGTGGTCCTACTTACAGCACTTTAATTAGTACTTGTGGCTGGTGATCTAGCTTTTTGACTTCCGTAGGGGTGAGGAAATTTTTGAGTTATTTTTCTTTTTGATTTCTTGTAAACAACCTGCAGGTTATCATGTATTCCACAAACAGGGGGCAGAGTTCAGATAGGCAACAACCCAAGGGGCCCCCCTTTGAAAAATGATCTTTTTCCCTTTGTTGAATACATCTTCACCTATTTGAAGAATGGAGATCGCAATATATCTTTGGTTAGAGTCTACTGGAGATTTAATTTAAGAGTTTCAGTTTGCTTTCCCAAGTAAAATTACGTGGAATGACATTTTAAAGGCAACTGTAAGTGTATAATTTTTATTCCGTCTCAGACAAACGATCGGCAGTAAGCGTGGTTTCCTTCGCAACTGTTATTTGGTCTCGTCACGTAATGCGCTCTCTAGTCCAAGGAGGGAACAAGGGCCTTGTGTGACAATATAATACCAAACCTTGGCTGCGAAGGAGAATACGATAAGCGTGGCACCAACGCAATTTATTTTTGCTCAAAAGTATTCAAACAGCAGAGACAAAAGACCACAAAATACCTGCCGGTGAGTTTATTTCAGACAAATTTGACAGTTTTTTTTACTCTTTTTTGTCAAGAAAACGTAATGCAATATTTTCGTTCTCTTGAAAGTCATGCTCTTTTTTTAACAAAAGTGAGAACATCAGACACAAACTGTCCCACCTCAACTTACCCATTCAACAAAAAAAAAAAAAAACTCTTGCATGCATAGCATGCCTATGTCTAATACATGCATGAGACTTCACTAAAAAAAAACAAAGAATGAAAAGGGTGACAGGAAGCTCTGTTTGCATTCCTAGAAAAGCAAATGTAGAAGAAAACATTGGTTGTGGAAGGGAGAGAAGCAGAAAACCTTGGATTTAAAGTGTTTCATCAGTTGTGCTTTGTCTCGGTAAGAAATAAAATGCAAAACCGGAGTGAGTTTTTGAAAAGTTCTTTTGATGAAAAATTAAATGAAAGACAGCTTTCCTGTATAAGGAAGGTTTTCCCTTCCTATGGGTAAATCTCGGTTAAGGTGTATTTGGCTGTGTTTGAAAATTTTTTGTTTCTCACTTGTTGCTGATTTATTTTAGCAATATTCATTTGTCAATGCTCTTTAAATAGGCACCTCCCTTGGCCACTAGCCCTGAATCAACAAGTGTACCTATGGTCTGTATCAACCACATGAGTTTTAAAAATATTTTAGAGACTTGCTCTCTTAAGTGTGGAGCCATTTCCAAAAGAACCATTTGGTACTGGTTCTAAAGGGGCTATCATGCTGACAGTAGGCAAAATTATCAAAGGGAACTCCATTTATCTGAAACAATATCTCATAACATAAAAAACACCAAATTTTTTTACTTCATGTAATTTTCTGAGTAGCCTCTACATCTTGTGAGGCCATGTGCTAGGTCATGAAGCTCTTTCCTGTCCTGCTCCTACCCATGCATAGGCACTCATACTGGGCATTTCTTTCACAGTGCTTTTAAACAAAAGCAAACTACAGGGGGGTGGAAAGATCATATGATGACATTAGGTTATATGTTGCTCAACAATAAGAATGAATTTGTAAAAATTTCCTTCTCTTCTACAGGAAAAATGCTTAAAAAAAAAATTAATGTTTAGCCAACTTTAAGTAACATACTTTTCTATGAGATATCTTAAGGTGTTATTCTTAGATTGTTCATATGAAAAAATTGGTTCATAACTGAGTTGTTTTTTGGCAACTCTCCAACTTATTGTCACACCCTTACACACAGTGACCACAGAGGACCTGGTAATGGCTAAAGAGAGGTTACAAATTGGACGTAATACCCATACAATACACTCCAAAATGAAAGCAATATAAAAAATAACAACAAATGGAATTGACACATTAAGCAAATCACATCCAGTAGCTGCTAAGTAAGGTTCCACAAAGTCAAAAAAGTTACTTTCTGGAGTGTTGTCGCCAATAAAAAAAGCTTTTCCAGCAATTTCCTTTGGGTTTTTCCTCAAAACATCAACTGCAAGGACATGAGCCCAGGCAGAATTACCCACATAGCATGAGTTAAATTTGGCTTTACCATCACCCATCCTGGGCAAATAACCAAGCTGCTTTTTGGCAGAATCAATTACATTTGGAAGGAACGCTGTGTCTCCTTCCCCATACATCACAAGTGATCTTAATGAGCACGTAACCAGATGGGTACCATTTGCTGTCAGACTGCCATTAGCCCGTAAGACTTTCTTCTCAGCCTTCATCTTGGTAAATGCATACTGACTGAAAAGATAATCTGAGACTTTTTCACCAGGAAGGGGTGTTTCTTCATTTATATTGTTGTTATCCAACCATCCGAGAGCAACGTCTGCAGTGCTTGTGTACACTATCCTACCCACATTGCATTCCAAACAGGCCTGGATTATGTTTTCTGTTCCTCTCACATTAACATCGTGCATTTTCATCTCTGATGGGTGACTGATGTCTACTATTGCAGCTGTATGGATAACAACAGTTGCTTGTGTGAAAACATCCTTGACCTTCAAAGAGAGGAAAGAAATTTAAAAGGCACATAGTGTATTCTTTTCCCATAATGATTACACAATCCTTTCATTCTGATCAATTCGTCCAAATCATGTGATCTTACAATTGGTATTAGACTGACTGACCAACTGACTGATTTACTAAAGGATTGACTGACAGAAAGACTGACTGACTGATTCACTGATTGACTGACAGACTGACAAACACACTGACTAACTGCCTAAAGAACTAACTGATTGACTGACTGATTGACTGGCTGAAAGACTAACTGACACACTGACCAACACACTGACTGACTGTTTGACTGACTTATTGATTGATTGACTGACTGACTAACGGAAAAACTGACTAACCGATTGACTGACAGACTAACTGACTAATTGACTGATCAGTCACTGACTGAATGACATTATTGACAGATGAACCCACTGACTGACTGACTGAGTGGCTGAGGTCACTGACCAACTGAGTAACTGACTAATTGACTGACCAACCCAATGACTGAATAATGAATGAATGAGTGAATGACTGTCTGACTTACTAATTGTATGACCTAACTGAGTTCCAGAAAGTATCACTTGCACATTCTGAGAAAGGTCATGGAAACTTTAACATGGGTCTCAAACACCAACTCTTTCAGAGAAAGTTATGATCTCATGAAGTCTAACTGAAATATTTAGTTAACTACAAACAGTAACCCATACATTTCCAGACATTTGTGGAATAAATAACAACTAGAGCTGAGTATACAGATATCATACAACAACAAATGTCATTTTCGAAGCTGGACATCAACCCCTGTCCGTTTCCTTAACACCTATGAGTAATTCAGTGTATAAATTCTGAACCTTCCAATTTCAACACATTGCAAACAGGCAGTGAGAAGTATTTAGATATTTTCTGCGGTTTTTTGTCTCACAATAACACCCAATTACCTCAACTAACGAAAAAATGTTTGTTATTGGTTAATTTCAAGATCTTCGAAGCAGACAAGCCTCCTTCCGGGACGTGTAATCAAATGTTCCGACGTACCCACAAGCCATGTTTTTGATCGATCATAACTAAGTCCTGGAAGAGCGCATTATTTCATTATTCTTTTTTTTTCTCAGATTAGCCTACCTGTTCATAATTGCAAATGTCTCCTCGCCTGTACCTCAATCTTCCGCCCTGAGCATTTTGAAGGAAGTACGATGGCTGACTCGAACGGATGTCAACACCTCGGATCTCTTGGATGTTCATACCACGCGTATTCAATAGCTCAACTATCTTAATTCCCAAAAATCCAGCTGCACCTGTAACTACCACTATTTCGCCATTTTCACCAGAGGAAGCTGAATTAAGAGCCATTGTTTTGATAGCAAATCTTAGTATAAAGGTCGTCCACTGCTCGCGATCTGCGTTAACAGAGGGGGGGTTGCAAGGCTCAATGTTTACTACTTCATGTAAGGTTCGTTTGAAACCTGCAGCTGATGGTTCAGTCGATAGCGATGCAACAGAGCCCTCGAACTCCGCTTTCACTTTACAGATTTCTGCTGAAATGTGTGAGAAAATTACCTGAAGAGACACAGAAGCATTATAAGCACCACGTGAAGCAGGTATAGTATAGTGATGATAGACAGCTGATGCTAGTACAGTTTATAATATTGGGGTATTTCAACCTTACTGACTTGCCTTTTTGCTGCAAGAAAGATGCCATTATTGTCTTTGATTATGATTTTATAGGGAGCTTTGATCAAAAGCAAAAACTTATAAATCATAAATATTCTGAGGCTGTGGATATATAATGTCCCCTAAATACCTCAAACCCCTACAGGTTTGTAAAAAAGGACTATACCTTGAAAAGGACGGGAATAATTTGTGAGAACAGACGAGAGTTAACTCATCTATTGATTATAAATTGGATATTACTTTTACTATAAGTCAGCCTTCTGCATTTATCAGAAATTGTTTCTGTTTAGGCCTACGCAAGTCACTGTGATGAAACTGACCCGCAAAGAATACAACAAATAATTGACAGAGCTATACAGGATGCAGAATGGCTGATGAAAAAGGTATTGAACAAGAAACAAACTTTGGATCAATGTTGGTGTCTGAGCTACTGAGCACCTACCCCTCCCTGAATCCAACATCAACCCTAACTTTTTATCAGTTGACTGTTGTTGGATTATGGGAGATGAAGATGTACAATTGGTCATATACTGACATTGATTTTCATCTTTTTACTTTTGTTTGCCCAATTTAGTATTGTTAGTCACTCAACTTCACAGGTAGCAAGCTGAAGGGTTGGTTATTTTGTCCACATTTATATATCAAGTACACCTAAAATAGGGATGGTAAATTTCAGATGGGAATGCATGAATAATTTTATGTCAATAAACTTGTAAAGTTTAGTATTGTTTTCTTGCTGAGGGGTAAGAATAATTATCTCTGGTAAGTATTTACTTTAAACACATCTATATTCAAAGATTTAACACTTGTATTCCACTGGAAAGGCTTGACATTTCCAGTTCAAATTTCCCACTCCAGCCAGGCAATAAGGCTCAAATTCCCCACCCCCCAGTATGGACAATGATCAAGCAAGGAGGGACATTAAAGCTTTGAACTGATTGGCACATTAGTTTTCAATAAAACAGTTATTAGCAGGGTAGAATGAGTTAACAGTGTGTAAATTTCAAGATCCAGTTTGTTTCTGTGGATTCTGTGTTCCAATCAGAGGTCTTTTTTATCTTGAAATACTTCTGGTTGGAGTTCAAAAATTGAAAGCTACTTAAAATAATTTAACTCAAGTGATCAGTGCAGTGTGATTGTTAATGGTTTCTTAAACCCTCTGACCCCTAAGATTGACCAACATTTAATTTCTCCCTACAATATCAGCCCTGAATCAAACATTTAGGTCACAAGAATAGAGGAAATGACCACCAACTAAAGAAGCTCTTGACTGTTAAAAAATTATTCTTGTCAGCACTTTGGAATATGCAAAGAGAATAATGTGGAGAATATGCATATTGATGTTAGAGTGTAAAGAGGTAATGGGTGTTGTATCATTAACTGCTTTATTGTTAAATTTTTCCACAGTATCAGAAGGGAACTGTATGATGACTGAAGTGCATTTTGATTACTGATGAAAGTGAAAAAGTCGATGACTCTTCTCATCTCACCAGGAATTAACTAATTAAAAATAACTCGGTCACAAGGGGTAACATGTTCATTTGTTTTTCAGAGTATCTTTGTCGTGAATTAACAGCTGAATCCAATGTCTCATTACATCATTTGTTGGCAGTATAGTCAGCTTACTTTTGCTGAATGCTACAATGCACAAACATTTTGCTTTTAATTTCTCCCTATGCAGCATATTGTCAGAGTTTTGGGGGTTTCAATAAAAGCAGGTTATCAGTGTTCTGCTGCCTTTTGTAAGTCAGACCTCTTACTGCAATCTGTTGAGCATGTTACCAGTGTTCTACCATGGCTTTTAAGACCTCTTACCCAATCTGTTGAGCCTGAGAGCTTGCTCTTGCACTTGAGATTCACCTTACAGCCTTTTTTCTTGCCACAGCCGACTATTACAGTTAGAATAATGCAAGAATAAAAGCAAATTCTCTAATGATTGTGCATACACTGTTAACATTTGACAAAGTATCTACAGAAGGTTATCAAAACCAACCTAACATTTATGCCAATGTAGGTTTGTTTATTTCAAAACTGTTATGGCAGGCATACATTGCTCATGCCATCATTCTTTGAAGTTGTTACAGATTGCAAATAAGACTATCCAAAAGAAAATGAGATTAGAGAACAAAATCTGGATAATTGAGGTTTCAATGTTTTTCTAAAAGTTAGTAAAATATACTCTAAGGACACAAGTCTGTTGGTTTGTTTGTTTTTTTTTCTGTTTTGTGTGCTCTGGTAATCTGTTATTGCCACTGTAAGATCATTAGTGCCTATATATTTAGTTAGCCTATTGTTTTCTATATGGGGCATGTGGAATGCACCTAGACAAGGGTAATTTATTCAAAATGCTCTCATGGCTTCAGCAGTTTTAATATCATTGTTTTGGTAGGAATGTTATGCAGTCCATTTTAGTTTCCATGGAAACACAACTGCAGTATACAGTACAGTTTAAGTAGCTATTTCTAGGGCCATATCAAATGTGTCATTTTTTAGCGATTGTCAATTTAGGTTTTATGTCAATTACACCTTTGGTTTTTCTCTACTGTAAAGTTTGTTTATATGTATATTTCTTTCAGTTTTAACTGCACACTATGCTTGAGTATTGCTCTGCTGCAAGATATCTTTGCACTGCTTGTCAAGTCAATAAAGATTAAATGCGAGTTAAAATGTCATTCCTGGTGTCAGCAGCAAATCCACTGAATTGGCAGTTATAACCATTATTATCAGTTAATGCATTTTGGCTGTAGTGGAATGCTCCCACACTAATGTAAAATGTATTCCAGACACAGCTTTTTATTTTCAGTCAGACAAAATAACAATAGAGTTCAGTGAGAGTATAAAACATTTGTCATCTGATAAATTTATTTTATTGTAAATGATCATTTACCAGACAGCACAGCAAATAAATAGATAAAGATCACGTCAAAAATTGTTTAAAGCACTAAAACAGTAACAGAACAATATTTTCTTTAAACATTGATTGCTAAGTTTATCAACGGAAAAATTGATGGCTGGAGAATCTGTTATATTGAGTATTCTGACAGTTCCCTCTCTTACACAAATATATAGTTTATAAAATACCTTCTATTCAAAAAAGTGACATTTTTGTAGTCTGACTACAATTTTTATGGTGATCCCTTAAGGGTTTCTACACAAATAAATATCTTACTTTTCTGTCAAAATACAACTTTGTAGCTATAGAAATTACTTTACAACAAAATTTAACTGAAGTCCCCCAACCCATTATCTTAGTTCACTGCAACTTCTGCAAGACAAGCTTGCCGTATGCTTTGTTCCTGAAAAACAAAAAATACACAAATAAGGACCAGAATAGTAATCAGGGATCAAACTTGGACACTTCTATTAACTTTTAACACCCTAACATAAGTATGTGTATTCTCCATACTGTTTTCTACATTTCCTTGGGTGCTGACAAGGAGAATTTGTTCATCAATCAAGAACTTCTTTGGTTGGTGATCATTTTCTTTATTCTCACGACCTTTACATAGGATTTGAGGGTGATATAGTAATGAGAAATTAGATGTTAGTCACTCTCAGAGGTCAAGGGTTTAAAAGAAAACAAGCTTCCTCGCACCAAATCCCCCCCTCCTCCACCTCTTTCCTGCCTAATTTTTGTTTGGAATATTGCAAATACATGTACAAACCTATGCAAAACAAATATTAACCAGGACAATAATCAATGATCAGACTTAGAAATTTTCATTTGGAAAGCATTAGCTGCATCCCACCCTCCCCCCTCCTCACACAAATACCCACTAATGATATCACAAATACCTACCCATGCATTCAGGACTGATGTAACAGAGTACTTTTCAGGCATACACTGCAGATTTGAAGATAGCTGCCTCTGGACTTTCTGGAGAAAAGGGTTGGCATCTACAACACACAGAAATTAAACATGTTTACATGACCTAAATCTTGATGAAGAACATAATGTCAGGAGACAGGAGCCAAAGAGGACTTGTACTAATATGCATACATGTACTTTGTAAAAGCAGCTTTGAAAGTTGGAAAATGAGAGTGACCCTATCACCACAAACTTAAGATTTGTATGTTACTGGTTAAGGAATTGAAGTGCTGGAAGTTGCAAAGACCAGTCACAGAGCTTAGTCAAGTTACATTTTTCCACCCCAACATTGGTATTCATTTTCTCCACAATGATCTCTCTACATTTCCTGTGTTAATGACAGGGAGAATTTGCTTGACAATCAGGAGCTTCTTAAATTGGTGATCATTTTCACTTTTCTCATCATCTTTACATTTGATTAAAAGGTTATACTGTAGGGAGAATTTAAAAGCCAGTTACACTTATGGGTCAAATGGTCAACCCTTCACACCCTAACATTTTACAATCATCAACCATGAACTTGTTGGTGACACCTAGATCAACGTTAAAATTTCATGGTGATTGTGCTTTTTCAGTCTGTGCCCCTAAACTTTGCAATAATCTTCCAGAGAATATAAAATGTAGTTTAAATCTTACATCTTTTAAGAGCAACCTTAAAACTTATCTTTTTAAGCTCTACCTTAATTTGTAGTTTTGCTCTAACTGGTATTTTTCAAATTTATTATTCACTAAGTTACTGCTTTAAACATTTTATTGTAAAGTGCCTTAGAGCTCTAGAATAGGGCGCCGTATAAATTTTTGTATTATTATCATTATTATTATTATTATTATTATTATAATATCATGATTCATATTCTCCATACTCTTTTCTATATGTTGCTTTTGGTATTGACATAGAGAATTCATTTGGAGATCAAAGCTTTGTAGGTTGGCAAACATTAATTTTCCTTTATTCTCATTACTACTGTTAGGAGAAATGAGATCCTGGTCACTCCTAGGGTTTAAAGGATTAAATCAGTTGAATACTGGATTACAGCATTCCATAATTAAATGCACAAGACAAAGATTGTAAGAGGTGAATTTCATACACAGAGACACTTTGTAGAATGTAGAACTTACTGTAATTTGCCGTCTTGCACTCAGGACTGGAGTAAGGGTAGTTCTGTGGAACACTGATTTCTATTGGTGGAACTGCAGGCAGGTTCAGGTCATCTTGGATGTAAAAGTTAGGAGAACTTAGTTAAATTTCAAGTCAAATGTACAAAATAATTAATACATAAAAACATAACTTCTTGCATGCAATCAATATACCAATAAAACAACATTCTGTAATAGTGTAGTTTGATCATCTAGGTGAGTGTAGTCCTGAGAAGGACTGTTGTTGGTAGAGTCCACTCTGATGACGACTTCTTCTCAGGTTGTTGAAATGTCAGTCACCACTTCTGACGACAGTCCTTCTCAGGACCACACCCACTAGGACACTATTACATGTTACCCCAGGTTCAAACCATTTACTGTAAAACGACATTCTCTTTTAATCAATGGTTGCAAAAACAATTGAAATGGTAAAGTAACAACCACTAGGCTAGCCCACGATAATTACAGATTTTATCTACAGCTTGAACCTTTTAACTCCCAGAATTGCTTAATAGGTAGCTTCTTTTGAGAATACTCAAACTTATCAGGTAGAAGTTATTATCTTGATCCAACAACAAATTCGTGTATTTAACCATTTAACTCTCAAGATCTGATTGTTAAGAATTATTCTTGCCTCTAGCTGATACATATTTCCTTGTAAATTAGTTACAAGAATTTGGGGTTAGATCAGGATAACAGCTTCAACTTGATAAGTGTGAATGCTATCATCACTTGTTGGCGGGATAATGTATGGATATCATAGGGACAAGTTACATGTAAATCACCTCTGGGGGTTAAAGGGTTTATTTAGCAGGGAAAGTGTAGCAGTTAGAGGGGACAATTAACTATCATATGTTGGGAGTTTAAGGGTAAAAAAATTAATATTTCAAAGCAATTGAATCTTAAAATTATTTTCTTACTTATTGAACACTCCAGAAGTGTGTTACTCTGTACTGCTCCAGAGCTGACTCCTGATCTCACTTGAAATCGGTTGCACAAGCGGGCAAGTTCCCCTTGCAACACATGGGGCACAGTACACTTCTTGGGGATTTCACCAGTAACCTTGATCCTCTTGGCTGGAGGTGGGATAGGACTACAAATAAAAAAATAATAAAACATTAGCCAATCCAATTCCTTCTACCTGTGTATATCTGTAAAACACCATTTATCTGATAATGATACCAAGGAACCACAAGGAAGCCAACTCACATATCAAAGCATTCCTTCGTAAGTCCTGGAGACATAATGAAAAGGAGGAAATAAGGGAAATAGTGGGGTGTCCTACTACACAATTCTCAGTTATTTTTTTTTTCTATAAAAAAAAACCTCTCTTTTAGCATGTAGAGTGGTATGTACTTCACACCAATCAGATTGCTGCATAAGGGTATGTATCTCACACCAATCAGATTGCCGCATAAGGGTATGTATCTTGCACCAATCATATCACAGCATTTAGATATATTGCACCAATCAAGAGTTTGGATTTTTGCTTTTTTTGCAAATGATGTCATTGAATCAGGGAGCTGTGCATAAGGAATGACATTAACAAGAAATTTTGGGCTCATTTGATAAGTGTAATGATCTGTGGCCTTTGGGAGAGCCACGTTGATTAAGGTTGAGATTTATCAGGATATGAAAGGTTCACATTTAAGGTTTTTGTACATTTTTAAGTTAAAAGTACTTTGTAAACAACCTGCATTTTAACACATATTCTAAGCACATTGTCCAATGCCGCTGAAAAAAATTAACATGGAACTAAATGCTACTGATAATGAATTTTCCATGCCATTCTCCAGCATTTTGACTTTTTCTACAAATAAAATTTGCTTTTAGCTACCTTGGACTTAACCCACTGGCGTGTAAATTCCTTGTAAACAACCCGCATTTTATAATGTATTTCACACACAGAGGACAAAGTCTAAACAGGAAACAACCAATCAAGGAGCCCTCTTTGAAGTATTATCCTTTTCTCTTGTTCAGTTTATCTTCACTTATTTGAGATCCCATTATATCTTTGGTTAAGGTCTATTGCAGATACAACAGAGTTTCTGTTTGCTTTTTGTGGTAAAATTATGTGGAATTATATTTTTTAGGCAGCTAACTGTAAACAAATAATTTTGATTTCTGTTTGTTTGAGGAATGGCAATAAACATAGTCTGTTTTACAACTGTTATTTGGTCTTGTTGTGCAATGCACTCTCTCTCTAAAGGGTATTGTATGACGAGACCAAACAATGGCTGCCAAGGAGACTACATTAAGCATGGCACTAATGTATTTTTCTTTAGCTCAAAGTATTTAGACAATAGAGACCATAGACCACGAAATACCCACAGGAGTTGTTTATCTTTCCCTTAAGGTGAAGTAATGGGTTATTTTCATTCTTTTGAAAGTTGTGCTCTTTTTCTGTTACAAAAATGAAAACATTACCGGTAGGTACACAGTGTCCCACCTCAACCCACCCAGCTAAAAAAATAACTCCTGCATGCTACCCATGCCTATGTTTTAACAAAAATGGATCCCTCAAACCTCAAAGGATCAAGTTGTCAGGAGCCAACCATAATGCTAAACTTACAGTATGGGTGGTCCTTCCATAGCTTGCAGCAGTGGTGTAAATGTTCTCTTCAAAGTGTGGCCCAACATAGGTGACTTCGCATG